GCTTTACCTGGAGTTTCTCCCCCTCATTCCCAAGCCCAATCAATCCCTCTCTGACAACCAAACAAACAGCCCCAGGCTCTGGGGACCCAGCACAGCGTGACGGGCCAGACCATGTCGTGGGTCCCTACCGGCTGCCGGCTCAACTCAAACTGACTCACGCCGCCTCTCTGGCCTCCCTGGCCTCCCTGGTGGCCCTAGGCCTGGTGACGGCAGTCACAGTGCCCTCCTGGAAGGTGGGCAGCAGAGCGTGAGAGGATCCCGATGCAGTCTTTCTCCTGTACCTCTGTGGTCTCTGGAGCACTCAGGGTGGCTTCCCTCCCCCTCCCCCTCTGCCAGGGCACAGAGAAAGCCACGCCTCTGCCACCTCCTTCAGTCCGGTGCCCTTCAGGTGGCGGTGCCCTTCAGGTGGCGTCTTCCTGGGCCTCACTTCAGGCCTTTATCCCTTGATGCTGATGGCAAGTGAATGACTCAATTGGCCAAAAATAAAAGCCCCCATAAATCCAATATTTTCCCTTACGCCGTCAGGTACACAGAGTGTGCTGAGGTTATTGATAGAAAAGTTTATGGATGGGCTGCATCTTAAAATCAAAATACATTACCCAAAATCAATGTTGCTGTACGTAGCATGGGGAGGACAGTAAAGGTCAGTTGAGACAAGAATACTGAAACCAAAAGTCCAAGAAGACCTGAGCATTAAAATAAATAAAATTTGAAAGTGAATTCCAGGAAAAACATTCACTTCAGGCTGTAATTTAAGGATGCTGCCATAAGAGGCGAGGCAGTCTTCTTAAATGGCGCTTCAGATGTGCCTCTGAGACTCCAGTGAGTCCACCCTCAAAACGGTATTGACCGCGCACCCCAACTAGGCCCTGACTTCACAGCGAGGAGACAGAGGCACAGCCAGAGGGCAGAGGGTGGGCCAGGCAATAGGTGGGTGGGGCCTCTGTGACCTGAGTCAGATTCCTGGAGGCTTCTCCTCAGGACCCTGTCCAAGACCTTCCAGAGCCTAAGGAAGAGGGGGAGGGGAGCACCTTGCTGCCCCACGATGTCTGTGGCCATCCTCTGGTGAGCACTGAGGCTGGGCGCAGCTGTCCTGACAGACTGGTAGGAATCACTGGGGGGTGGGGGGGATTGTTAACCTCTGCGGGGGCACGAGGGACCCTGGCAGTTGGTGGCATTGTTGGCTGTGTCTCCAGAGGGAAGTTTCCCTTTGGAGAAGCCATTCACACTCGCCAGGACAGGTGCCTTCTGTGGAGTCTTCAATCAAGACTATGTCTCACCAAGACGAAGGGAAGCAGGACACTGTGCATCCTGGCCAACGCCTGGCTGGCCCTGCCCTGCAGGGGCCTGTTGCTCCCCAACTGGCAAAAGGCTCAGTAGAAGAGGCAGCTTCCACTGGGAACCTCTGCAAAGTGCCCCTTCCCAACATCCCTGCGGTGCCCCGGTTACTGAGCCCTAAGTGTGGGTCAGGCCAGCAGGGAGGTAAAGACACAGAAGAAAGGCCCGCCCTGGCCTTACAGCCTGAGAGGGGCTCCTACCACACAGCGCTGTACACCAGGGAGGAAGCTGCGCAGACCCCAGGCTGCCCTCGGGACCTCGCTCTCTACACCAATTCCAGGTCAAGGGGCCCAAGTGGAGAAATGTGCAGTGCTTTTGGTTAAGAATTAGAACCCCAGAGTAAGACAGACCTGAGTTAAAGTTCACTTTGCCCCACAAATATTTACTGAACTCCCAACCTGTGCCAGACTGTGTTCTAGGTGCTGGAGATAACGTCAGTAAGCAAAGCAAAAAACCCATCTAGCATTGTCTGCAGACCACAGAAACACAATAAAAAAGGGCACTGTACCAGATGTTGGAAGGAGGGGAGCGAGGAAAGGACAAAAAGGATGGCAGTGAGGGACTGGGCCTGCCGCAGGGGGGCAGAACACAGGCAGTAGCAGGGGTCCATTGCTCCTCCAGCTGGCAAGGGCCAGTCCTGGTAGGCCTCACTGAGAAGGGGATTTGCAACAAGACAATAAGACAAAGGGCAAGAACATGACAGAGGCAGCCAACCAGATGTCCGGGGAGGAGCAGCCCAAACAGATCACACAGCTGGTGCAAAGGCCCTGAGGTGGGAGCACACTCACTCGCGCATGGCACTGTGGGAAGAAGGCTAGTGCGACTGGAGGCACGTGGTCAGGGAACAACAGACAGCCTGACGGGGGACGGAGGGACAGAGGACAGCGACGGGCGGTTGACCTTGTCAGCCACTGAAGGCCACTGGCATTTATCCTGAGTGAGATGGAACCACTGCAGGAGGAAGAGTGGTGTGAATCCTGTTGAGAAGGGTTACTCAGCTGTCATCTTGAGAACTGACCCAGGAAAACTGGGGAGCCAGTGCCTGCCCGGAACATGAAGTGCGTGTGCTGAAGTGTAGCTATTATTGTTAACACCAACTCCTGCAACAGACAGGAAACGCTTTACCCCACAGAGCGTATAGGTTTACAAGATCCACACACCTTAGAGGTAGCAGAGCTGGGACTCCCTCTAGCTGCAGAAATCCTCCCCTTAGGCCTGTCATGTGGTGGTGGGGGGGGCGGGGGTGGATTGGCTCTGGAGTCAGGACAGCGATCTGGCCTCCACTCCCAGCAGCCCAGTGCAAGGTGGGCTGACTTTTACCACCAGAGCCCTGCTTGATATCAGTCCCCAAAGGGAAATGGCTTTCCTAGCATTCCGCCAAGGCTGAGTGTGGAGCACAGTGCAAGTCTGCCCTCTCCCTTCAGAAGCTGAGGACAGCAATGGGGCCCTGCAGGGTCTGGCATTCATCCTCCCAGAGCAGTTTCCAGGAGAAGGCGGGCATTCTGGGGAAAGCTGCTGGCCTGTGGGGATGAAATGACAGAAGTCATCCAGCCACTGCTTCGTGGGGCCCCTGGAGAAGACCCGCAGGAAAAGAAGGCCCCGGACTGCCCTCCCTTCTGGAGAAGCAGGGCTCCATGGGTGAGCAACAGAGACCCGAGGGGGTGGGAATGGCTCCAGACACGGTGAGGAAACTAGACCGGCCCTGGGAGGGCCACCGAGCTGTGCAGGGGCACCCTGTGGTGAGGACCAGTTCAGCAGGGGCCTGGCCTTTCTTCCCGTCTCAGGCTGTGCCCGCAGCAGCCAGGGCTGTGCCCGCTGCTGGCGAAAATCTGCCCTCTCTGTTTCCTCTCCTGGCTCTTGGGCAACCTTCTCATGGTGCCTCTGGAGGCTGGTGAGCAGGGAAAGCAGACTCCAATGAGGGACAGAGGTTCCCCTCACCTCGACCTCAGGTCTGGGTGGTTAGGGGCTGGGATCCTGAAATCCTTGGACTGGGGATTCCCACAGGGAAATGAGGGACAGGCTCAAGGAGAGCTGGGGAGCTCTCCCCCCAAGAGTGCGTGCCCCTTCGGGACCACAAGCCCTCTCCACTAACTACAGATGGCTGGGGAGGGGGACAGGCTCTGGTGAAGACTGCGGAGAACAGAGATGGGGGGCGGGATACAGAGCCGGAGGCTGGGCTCCGGAACGCGGCGGCGGTCACCGGACCTTTGCCTCACGCTGCCTCGTGATCCCCTACCCTTGCACGGGAAAAGCGGAGGCAGAGGCTGGAAGAACGAGTGGGGACTCAAGGTCCAGCGATCGAGGTGCAGGAACTCCACCCCCGCCCGGAAACCTCCCGGGCCCTGAGTCGTGCCGGGCTCTCCCCACCGCACCCCGCCCCACCCCCGCCGCCTCTGCTGTCACTCACGCCGCTGCTCGCCGGCTCGCTAGCTCGCGCGCTCCGCGCCACAGGCACCTGCTCGCCGGGCGCTCTGCGCTCACTTCTCGCTCGCACACTGCAGACTCCCGGCGGCGCCGCCTCACCGGCCTCGGCCCGGCCCGGCACAGAGCTCCGCCCTTCTCCCCGGCCCCGGCGCCCACCCACTCACCATGGCCTGGGCCTGGGACAAAGAGAGGTGCAGCTCTTTGCCCAAACCCGGGTAAGGAGTTGAGGGCAGGGGTCTGCGAAGAGGGCCGCGGGACACGCGGGGTGCAGGGACGAGCGGCCGTCTCAGGCGCTGGGGATAGGGAAGAAGCCTGGGAGAGTTCAGGAGGGAGGACCCCGGCCAGGGCCGGCGGGGCGGGGCTGCGCC